GCACATAAACAGAGCTGAATTGGCCTTAGCAACGGTTACTACCGAAAAGCCTCGCTTTCGCGCAGGGGCCGCCATATTTGCAATCGGTGTATTATTTTGATATTTTGACAAAAGACAAAACAGACTACCGTTGTAAAATCAAAGAGTCCTTACTTAATCAAGAACTTGAGCCAGCTTTCAACGTGAACGTCGGAAGTGAAAAGCTGTTGCTTTATTAATCTTCTCTAGTGTTATTGTTTATTGTTAAGTTTTTTGCTTAATCTTGGTTCCAGTCCCCTAACCTTAGTTATATATACATAGCTGTTTTAAATTTCAACGGTTACTTTTGAAAATGTATGTGGAGTACATACGAAACGTCAAGTCATAATCTAAATGTGCAAGTTCAATATGTTTGTCACTGCTTTTTGTGTCTTATTTTTTATCAAAACTGCTTTACTTTAGGTCAGAGGAGAATAGAGCTTATCAACTTCTAGTGGATCATAGGAAGGTCAACGTTTACTGTCACATGACTGATGACCTTGAGGGCTGCGGGGGCGCTGGATGGACGACGGTAATGAAAATGGACGGCAACAAGGTATCTTGTCTTTCTTCACTATTGCCCGTGAGTCGAATGTTTTACTTAAAAGGGAAAATTTGACATGTGACTTCTTCACGAAAGGAGATATCATCTTTATGCGCTACATATGGGGAATCTATCTCGTAATATGGTCATCATACTCACAAAAGGCATTATTCAAAATTTCCATAACTTTAACCCCTCCATAACTGAACCTTCTACATTACGTCGCCCTAAAGGGATCATCATCGTCAGACGAGAGATTAAAGAGGATGAAGATGCTTGTAAAATCGTAAAAGAAACTCTTTCGAGCTCTAGGTGGAAAGACCTAGAAAACGATCGAAATATCTTTGAGACTATTTAAAACGTCAGTGTGATAAAAATTTATTGAGCTACGATTTGGTTCACAATATCCCCAGTATCCATTATTCTAAAACTATTATGTATATTGTACTTCTTCTGCCTTTTGTCCTTGGATAATAACTTTTGGCAGGAATCCGTTTCCGCTTTTTTTTTTAATGCATCGAGACTTTCTTTGATTTCCCTTCTAATACCATCTTGGGCGAGAGCAAATTTATGACTAAAATATTTACCATGCAGAAACAACTACTACATGGATGGCACTTTTCTTTTTTGAATCTTCCATGCAAAGGCTGGCGTGAACTGAAGGCGGATGTCTGCGTGAACTAAGTGTAGACTTGCAAAGTCATAAAGAACAAATGCATAATCGATCTCAGACGATTTTTATTCCAACTCGGCTATACCTTTAACCTTTATATTTAACAACCTGAAAGAAAGATCCAAAATAAGCAGCCGTAAAAAAGGTGTTAGAGACTCAATGCCGAGGGCCTCTGATTCTCGTAAACTAAACAAATCACGTTCCCCAGTCTCGCTGTAGAATATTTCGAACCATTCTCCTCATTTTAGTTGTTTTCTGCATATGAATTAAATTATCATTCAACTCATTTAAACTTTTAAATCTACATAGTCAACCTTCCACTTCGATTCGAAACTCTGGAGTAACATGAGTGACTTCAATCGTCAAGGAGGGGGGACTGGTTTTGACTTTCAAGAGACCAAGCTACCGACCTACTGGAACACATCCTTCTCCAAGATCTGTCTAGGGATGAACATCGGTAATCTATCCAGATTCATTCTCATCAAAAAGCAAGCCAGGTCTTTGCACTCACTTATCGCTGACGGGCAATATCGTGACACGTCACTGGGTCGTGACACGTGGAAGTTACTGATTGGCTCCGAGGCATCCTTACAGTCGAATTGTAATAAGGAAGGGTTCAATGCTGTTACGGGGAAAATTCATACTTCAAAAGCAAGAATCGGTATCATTGCTAACAACGAAAACCATTGCCGCGGATGTGATTCCAGAATTGGCTTTGGCACAGGTGGGTATGGAGATGACTCCAACACGTGTGGGAACGAAGCAACGCACTTTCCAGATAATGGAGAGAGACACATCAAAGCCATGGGGTACATCTTGGTTCAGTGACAAGGAAATCCATCTAATCCTAAAGAAATGGACACGAAACCAACTCTAAATGACTTGTAAATATTTAGTTGTAGCAAAAGAGGTCTCAATAAGAAATTAGTCACCGAGTCTGAACTATTTTTGTTTTATCTTGATAACACCCCCCCCCCCCCTAAAAAAAATTTCAATCATTTCCGACCGATAAAAACGCCTTGTTGTTTCTGGGAGTGGGGAAGGGGTGAGACGGGGGATAGGAGAACAAACGCCCTTCAGGTAATTGAATGGATAGTAGCTTATACCTACTCTAGTCCACTTAGATACATTAGACCAATGAAATACGTATAAATGATTAACAGTGCAGCATTTCGTGTAAAAAGGGGAAAAACTAATAGAATTCCATGCAGTGTTGATCCTTCAATAATCTTTTGTAATCTTTCCTTTCTTTAGAAGCTTGTGAAAGTTGTCAGAGGAAGCTTCTCTTCCTTCGCCCTCTTTACCCATCACACATCCTTGTGAGATAATCTTTCTTAACAGCATTCAGTTTAAAATGAGTAAACGACTTCCCCTTTGACTCCTCATCGTCAAGTACTTAATTTTTTTCTCTCTTTGACTCGTTCTGTTCTCTGTGTAAGGAATCTTTTAGAATTTTCTTCAACACAAAGTCAATAACTTTTTATCTCAGCCTACTTAAGCACAGCAATCCACTGTTTCAGCTTGACCTCCTTTCCTATTTCACTGTAATTAGTTGCATTAATGTAAGCATTCTTAGATTAATTATCATCCAATAGATGACGTCCTGATAAGAAAGAATAATCTTTATGTATAATTCTAAAAACTTTTCCTAGAGCTTCGCTGTAACACAGTTAATAATATTTTTTTTTTGTCTCAGTCTTCATCTGTTTCAGCTTGCTGTCCCTTCCATGATTTCACAGTTTACTAATGATTACCGGCAATCATGAATGCATTCTTAAATGTAATTAGTATCCAAATGATGGTGCCCTGATTATAAAGAGCCAGCCTCCTTATGAATAATGCTCAAAACTTTTCGTAAAGAGTCACTTTATTAAAAGATACGTCACACAAGGGCGAAAAATTAGCAGTATTCATTAGTAATATAATAGTAACAATGACAATTTTGTAGCATTGGCTAAACAAGAAAAATATCTTTCAGAAGTAAATGAAATTGATTAAAATGTTTCCTTCGATAAAACTGGTCAATGACTCATCATGGAATTTCAAAATCGCATAACATTCTGTTCACAACTTTTTTCGAATCAAGAAGATTCAAAGTAAATCGTAGGTACGCTGATCATATTTTTCATCTTATTACTGTCATGAAAAAACACGAATAGAAAAGTCGAAATATCCTTTCGTCTCGATGAAACTCAAAAGCTTATCTTCTTGTGGAAGTCCCTTTCATCAGGGATTCAACACCGTCAAAACCACCCTCTTGATTCATCCGCATTTACCGCACTATCACCGATCGCCATATTTAAGTGCGGAATTGAACTCAATTGTTTTTATATTGTACCCTTACTTCTGATCGGCCGGCTAGTAAACCCCAGCTTGTCTTAGACAATATAGGGGAATTAAGACGCTGCTAGGTCATAAGCTTCTGTTCCATGCATAACATTAAGACAAACGAAGCTCTAGAAGCTTCTAGAGGACCTTAGGTCAGGCAGTGAAATAAAAAAAAACCTGTTGAAGGTAAGATGTTTGACCATCCTTCAGAAAGATTTGTAATAAAGCACCAACTGTATACCTTCTGTACGTGACATATTGAAAGCGTTATGTACATCGCTTTTTCATTACTTTCCCCTCACAGAAACTCTCTAACCATTTTTATCATATTTATTACTACAGATATCATCTCTGACTTATTCTCTACATGTATATCGAGTTAGCAACCTATCAGTTTCTGATGAGATTCTTTGATTTGCTCCCGGTTTAAAATGAGAGACAAACTTGGGCGTAATTCAATGGTTCAACCGGAAAAACTAATATTATAGCGGTTTTTAATTTTTCTCTTTACGGCTTCAGAGCGCTTGCGTTCAAAACTTCTGCAAGAATAACGCCTCTTGTCAAAGCTGCTTTACCGACAAAGAATATCGCTGTTTGTATACTTCTGGATTTAAAGGTCAAAACTGTGACGAAGGTAAACCTAGTCAAATAGTTGGTAAAAAGTTACAAATCAGTACAAGCAACTGTGGGCCCATAATCAAAACGATGGCCTCCATTTGCTTCAAAACTGAGCTTGGAAAATTGCCCACGGAGTTAAATTCTTTCCCAAGAAAAAATATTTGAACACATTTTCAAGCTAAATAGCGGCTAATGTGTCTATTAAGATTGATGTACATTTCAACGGCGCAGAATGAAACATTAACAAGTAGCTTACGGTCCAACTTTAAGTTGAGATATATTGTTCGCTCTGCTATGACAACATCAAAACACTCCCCCATAGTAGATCAACTTTCAAGAAAATACCAGTGGATAGGGACTTAGGTGCGAAAGATTGGCGTAAATATACACCGGCGGAATAATGTTGAATCGACGAGGCTTCAAAGCAGACATTTTGCAGCCAAAAAAAGAGTTGGAACGAACTGCGTTGAAAGACTGCAGCCCTGAAAATTATACATGTTTAATGGTGATCCAAATTCCATCTGATATTTCCTACCATGCGGTCGAAACACGACTATCTTCCACTAAGCATGACTGGTGAGCTCCTCAGGTCACCAGCCTTACTTTACAAGAATTCATATAAATATAATACAGATTTACAACTTATGCAAATGTGCCTCATTTATACTCAAATTACCATTGTTATTCTGCTCGTCACAGGCCTTCCATTTTCTTCGTGTAACGAGACTTTTTGAAATTCAAAGGCTACTCACTATAGCTATGATCAATACATCTGCTGAATTCGAGGTGTAAGAATGCCAAAACAATATATGTAATATAGCTGACCCCCTCCACAAAGTTATAAAACACAACGGCAACCGAAGAGGTTCCATCTCTCCCTAAGTTGAATGCTTTCATATATGTTATTGATGAATACAACAGGGAAATTTCCTTTTAGATATTGATGAGTGTGTTGAGGGATCACACAGCTGCAGTGTTGATGCTGTGCGTAACAATAGGTCATTTTACAGTTCTGCGCTTGGTTGCCAAGCCTTTGATTTGGAGTGAGGCTGAAGGTGACCTTGTTGTGATAGAGACCAGCATCTATTTAGCATGATAACGAAGTAATTTACATTTGAAAAGCAGCAACATCTGTATCACAACAAGGTCACCCTTAGCCTCACTCCCATGCAAACGCTTGACAACCAAGCATGCAACTGTAAAATGGACTATACCAAGGGATCGTACAAATGTACATGCAAACCACAATACCATGGAGACGGATTGACGTGCGAAGGTATATATTACATTCAAAGTATTAATTATATGAAAAAATAGCTCGTGCGCTGATCCTACCTGATCCAATTTAGCCAGCATGGAGTGACATTTGCTGAGTAACTGCTCTTTGTCAGTTTTAAACTAATTGTACTTACACTGAGCAGTATGCGCATCAAAGCATCTTCGTATACATCATCAGACTTAGGTGCGTATTTAT